ATACAATCATATTTTATTGCTGTTTTGCGCTGCAAGTGTCTCCAATTTAAATTATATCCGTTTTTCTCTTCTCTTACAGACTGGCACTGCATTGCTGATCATTTACTCGACCTTCGCAGCCATTTACTACTCGAAAGTAAATCCGCTGGTGTCCGATTACGACTACACCGACTACTTGGGCGGTGCGCGTTCACTGAGCGGTGGCGACGACGACTTCATCGATGATGACAGTGCCAGCAACAGCAATGGAATGCGACGAGGTGGCTGGTTCGATGGTATGCTGCCACGCGCTGGGCGTACGTTAAAATATATATTCGATGCGCTCGATAAACTGCCGGTGGACCATCGCGAAGAGGATGAGGTAATGAAAGGCGAGCATTTAACGACAGCAGTGTCAGCGCAGCCGGAACAGCAGCCGTGGGCATTAAAAGTAGGAGGGGTAGCGAATGAAAGCGACGATACGACCGTGACAGTGGAGGCGGATGCGAACGAAGAGGAGAATGAAGGGAGGAAGAGGAATTAATGCAGCGGCAAGTTCGCGCGTATGCTGCTTGATGAGCGAAAAATGTGGCGCTTAATAATAACTTCTTCGGCACCTAGCATGTGTGGGGCGGCACAAACAACGCAAACACGCATACATACATATGTGTGTATGTACATATATACAAATGCGTTCTGCAACTTTTGCAACTACAAAATCGTTGCCATAAATTCTCACGCAATTAATTACGATACTTTCGTTTATTCCTTAAGTTTCGATAGGTTTTTGTTTTTGTACTCCTCTTTCAATCGGCAATTTCATTGTTTCACTTTCTGCTTTTTCACTACTCTCCTCACATTAATTTTATTTATTTACATACAGCCGGCCAATACATTTTTGCATTTATTTCCTTTATTGCGTTGGTCAATTGTTATTTGTTCTGAGTTTTTTCTTGTTTTTCGACGTGCATTCGTATTGATTTATGGCGTAGAATTTATGGCAGCGATGCCACCAATGCAGACAGAAATACGCTTCTGACAATGGTAAATATACAAAATCGTTAACTATGTGACCACAGCTGCCCTTGGTACAGGCTACAGAATTGCGGTTTAATTTCACTAAAAGACATTTGATGCACGCGACAGAAGCGATTTGGCATTAAGGAATTTTACTCTGTATGTATTTAAGAAAATACCAAATTAAAAATCATTTAAATTTAAGTTCATAAATTAATAAAATATTTCCATGTATAATTATATGTACAAATATACAAAAATTTATATACATGTCCACATACATAAGTAAATCGTCATATGCATTGATAACTTTTGCCTTGAAGGTCTTTTGGTGAAATGAAATTCTGCAGCCGCTTAAATAATTATCTAATTACAACTATTCTCTATAATATATTATAAACGAATTTTCTTATAAGCAATCTATGAGCTATGATAACCAAAAACAAGTAAAAATAAATTTAGTAGAAAATAGTTTTCAAGTTTACTTTGACGAGCGTTTATTGCTTAAATGGTGAGTTATATGTATGTATCAGAGACTGGCAAACGAAGCTGATTTTGTGACTATAAAAGCTCAGTTAGTCAATGACGTAGCGTAAACGTAGGTAGCAGCATATAAAATTTACTGTTGATAGAGAGAAGCAACGGCAACGTCACCGCCATGCGGTGGTGAGTTTTCGTTAACACGCGAATCCCATAAGCTAGATCGTGTGTGCGTCAACTTACGTATACGCTACGTCGTTGACTGTTTGCGCTTTTAAAGGCCTGCTCACCTTAAAAACGGGGGATGAACGAACACCAGCGCATAGCGTACAGTGCTTGCAAATACAGCTACCACAAGTGAACGATACTTATAACATCTCATACTGTATTCCGAGTGAACGTGTACGAAACCAGCAACCGCCGTATTTGATCGACTGCCGAAAGCACGATACTGCATTTGGACGGCTACTGAAAGCACGAGAGCTCATTTGGACGGTTGCCGAAAGCATGCGAACTCATTGGGACGGTTGGCGAAGCAAGACGCCGCAGTTCATTTGTTGCAGAAGTCGTTTGACTTGTTGCTGAAAGCCATTTTATTTGTTGCTGAAGGCATCAAACGTTGCCGAAGTCATGATACTGTATTTCAAAAACAGTTCAACGACATTTGCTTGTTTGAAATGAAGCATTGATATGTATATACATACATACATACGTACGTATACACATTCCTCACAACTAGCCTGCCAACACGTTCGAGCTATAAATACATACATACATACGAGACGATAAATAACCCTTTACTACATTCGTCGTGCTTTCGGCAACAAGTCAAATGGCTTTCAGCAACAAGTCAAACGACTTCTGCTACAAATGAACTGCAGCGTCTTGCTTCGCCAACCGACCCAATGAGCTCTCATGCTTTCGGCAACCGTTCAAATGCCGCGTTTGCTAGTTTCGTGAACGAGCATTCGGAACAGTGTGACCGCGGGCTTGTGAAAAATTGCAGCAGCAGAAAAGAGACTTAAAATGTATCAATATGTATCACTTTTTTTCATTTAAGTATCAAAGCATCAATATGGAATAAAACTAATAATTTTTATAAAAACCCTTTTCCAAAACAATTTAACATTTATTGCACGAGCAAGTTTAAATTATTCCCCGAGTGCAATTTGCGCAATTTCAGTTGCAGTTACACCTTGAAATTTTTATTGCCTACCAACTGTTGTGTGTGGGCACTTTGATGTCTAGATATGTATAGGCATTTGCCGCATTACGCCGCCAGACCACATTCTCAATTTCGGTGTTAAAAAAACATTTAAATCTTAAACAAACTTACTGAATATCTTCCTAAAACGTTGTCATAAATAATCCAATAGGGAACAGATTCTTATTTTGATTTAATATTAATATTTCATCGATATAACCACCAGCACGCTTTCTATTAAGTGAAAATATGGCTGTCAAACAATAAGGCGATATCCATTGGAAATATATTTTGTGACATGGTTATCACGACTTTGGTGTTTTCCTGTGGAAACAGGGCCTTACCGAGCACCAAGCCCTAATTTTTGCTATTGAACATAGCGAAAATAAAAAAATGCGGCGCTATGATGCTGTTCGTTTGTTCACATTTTGGTACTACTAAGCGACCGCGCTGCTCAGTCATACAAAGCAGCAGTATTGATTGAGTTTGCAATAGTTGGCGTTCAACGCAAGCCAGTCTCTGGTATGTATTTCTTGTGGACAGAAAAACGCAAGAGAATAAATACTTTAAGGGCCGTTTTCTCATCTAAGCTTTAGTTTACCGGCCACTTTATCGTCTCGATATACGAGTTTTCGTTTTCTTATCAGCGCATTAATTCTCGAATCGATAAACTGTTGCTCACCCGATGCAACCAGAGAATGTTAATTAACATTCTCTGATCTTATCACCCACAGTTTTTTTTTAGTGTGGGCTGGAAATAAATCTTAGAAATAAAAAATTTAAAAATATGTATATTAGGAAGCCTCACTGTCCATACAAAATAAAATCCGTTACTGTTTTTCCATTCGAAATGTAAAATTTATTATATATTAACAGGGAATTCTAGCTAAGATAGTAAAAAGTCTTTCGTAAGACAAATTAAAGACAGCTGGCAAGTTAGCTCGAACGACTTTTTATTCTAGTACAAAAGTCTTTGAAAAAAAGCTCTTTCATTCACCACCCGTGGTGAAAATCTATTTTGAGAGAAGGCACTTGTATATCATTTAGTTCACGCCGCTCCAACAGTCGCAATGGCCGAGTGAACAAAACATTCGAGAGATTCGGGTTCGATTCCGGGCGGCGGACTTTTTTTAAATATAAATTTTGTCTATTTTAATTTAATTTAATTTTAATTTTAGATTTTATTGTTTTAAAAGGAAACAATTTTTATTTCATTTAATTTTTAGAAACTTGTTTTGTGCATCTTTTTCTTTTTTAATCTCTTTCTCTTTTCATTCCTAGATGTTACTCTTTTAAAAATAATATATATTTTTTTTTTAATTACAATACATTTTTAGGACCTTATTTTTTTCCTAACAATTTTTTTTTCTTTTTTAGTTTAATTTCCCTTTAAGCTTTTATATGTTTTTGTTTAAAAGAGAAAAATATATATTTTTAAATTTACTAAATTTTTTCTTTTATTGATTTTTCCTTTTGTTAATTTAATTTTCTTTAAATTCTTAGATATATTTTTTTATTTAGTCAAATTTTTAGGACCTTTTTTCTTTATTGTCTTTTTTAATTTGATTTTCTTTGAATTTGTAGTTTTTTTAAATGAAAATATTCATTTTTAATTATCAAGTCTTATTTTCATCTCATTTTCGTTGTTGGTGTTTCCGACAGGGTAGGAGAGTGATGTAATGTGCAACGATTTTCCGTCATCCCTTGTCAAATTTGCTTTCGTTATTTTCTTCTTTCATTTAATTTTTTCCTTTTTCTGATTTGATTTAAAATTTTTTTTTTTTAAGAAAAGAAAAATTTTGTTTAATCTCATTTAATTTTGAAATATATTTTTGCTTTATTTTCATTTTACTTTATATATTAGTTTTTATTTTATCTTTAAAGAGAAAAATATACATACCTATATTTCTTTAATTTTAATTTAATTTTCAAAAAACTTATTGCAAAAAGGCGAACAGCATAACGCTTAGACCTCCTCGTTAGCAGATCTTTCAATTAGTTTTTCGAAAGACAGCAAAGAGCTTTCAAGATAGTTGCCAGAAATGCCAACTGTCTTACGAAAGATTTTTGTCTGTGGTGAGTTGAAAGACAGTCGCCAGAATTGCCCTGTAAGACTTCCGGAAAAAGAATTTCGTAAAAATATTAATACCTATTTGAAAGTTTAAAAATACTTTTTTCTAAAAATTACCGCAGATGAAAGAACAATATTTAAACATTTTATCAAAGGTATCAAAATGAGATTTTTGGAGGTCTAACTCACGTAAATCTCAATATTGTTTCAGAGATATTTTGGTGCAATTCTTATAATATAATTAATTTCATAATAACGGTGTAAAAACCGTAACTTTTTGGGGATGCACCTTAATGTACATATGTATGTACATCCATAGTTATGTATGCATACATATAAATAACTTATCACTCATTATAACTCATTATAAATAACTTATCAACTCATTCGACTTGATGGATTTAGTTATTTATTTATGTGCCTCATTGGCTTACACAAAGAGGGTTTGCTCTTCGTTTTACTTTTCAATGTTATTTTTGCATTGGCCAACGCAAAAGTGATTTTAAGGCGTTGTGAAGCAAGCCGGACATTTGCTGGCGTGCTATAAAAAGAAACGCCTGATGCTCTCGAATACCAGGTAATCAAAATATAATTGTGGCAATATGAAATCAAGTGTTTACGCCATTCTTCGACAATAATTTCTATTCAGAGCTAGTTTCAGCAACCTGCTACGAAGTGGATGTACGCTATTTAAGATGTCCATTGAAGACGATAATGTTAAGGTAATAGTAAGAAGTCGGGCTGTTCTAAAACGTATTTTAATTAATTAATTAATTTCAATCTACAAACTTGCTTTCAAAAGCATTCATTCTACACTGAGGGAAATAATGCATAGTAAAAATGAATACTTTATATTTGATTGTCGTTTAAAAATGTTCGTATTTAAAAATAATATTTTCATACAAAATTTATTACGCACGTATTTGACTGTTCACATCTGAGTATGTATATGTAAGTGTACATACGCACCCCAAGCATGCAGAGCGCCGCACTGAGAGCGGTGACGAAACACACATACACACATAGCAAGAATGGTAGAATGAGAGTAGAATTCTCAAGAATTTCTGTCAATCGTGCATACATAGTACATACATATTTATCCGGACAAATCGCGTTCTTTGGTGTTGATGGATATTCAACATTTGAAAGCAAATTTATATGACTGGGTGTAGCTGAGTGCGCAAAGATGCTTGCCACAAGTTGTTGGTATCCGGAGATGGTCGGGTTCGAATTCCGCTGCAGGCAACATGCAAATAAATTTTTTTTTTAGTTTTTTCTTGATTATTCACTTCTCGGATGCTTTTTCAGTACGAACGCGGTCATTTTAATATGCGCGTAATTGAATTGAATATTTACCGATATACAGTACTTTCGTTGACGTTTATAGTAAGATCAATTACGTTTCTATTTGATTTTAATATTTTTTTCCCTCAGTGTACTTTTA